CTGTCTTTGTAGGTATATAGCACCATGGAGAGTTAGACAAAATTCATTTTAGATCATCTCATGATATCATTTATGTAATTTTAAATAAAAATTTAGCAACTTTACATCGTATCTTAAGTTTTATTCATATTTGACTTGTGTAAATTTTTCTGAAGTGAAGATAAAGGAAGGTAAGTTTACTTGACATACTGTCTATAAGATTCTCTAAGGATAAGAGGAAAAGAGCATGAACAATATTGGGATGATAATAAATGTTTTTTAAATTCAATTTTCCAAAAATAAATTTTTTTAGTTGGGGGAGGAGCAGAGGGAGGGGGAGAGAGAGAATCTTAAGCATGCTCCATGTGGGGCTCTGATTTCACAACCCTGAAATCATGGCCTGAGCAGAAATCAAGATGGTTCCCTACTGTGAGAAATGAAGATATTAGTACACTTATACTTTTTCTCTCTCTCCCTCCTCTTCCTCATTTTTGATGGATATTATTTTTACTTTGTTAGGAGTTTTAAAAAAAAGTATTTCTATTATTTTCTGCATTCAAAATTCTCTCAGTTTTTTGACCACGTTTTCTCTATCTTTGAGTTCTTTGTTGTAATGCATGTCTGAGTTGCCCATATTTCATCTTTAAGAAGTATTTTCATGGATGCTACTTCTGGGAAAATTTTGGTAGTCCTAACATACAGTCTAGTTAAATTTAAAAGCTTCATCAGTAATTTTTACTGCTGTTGCTATTCAAAGGTACTTTTACTTTGAGCTAATAATAACACATTCCAAGAATGAGTAACGAGAATCATTAACAAGAATTGCATATATTTAAATACTTGAAAAAAAAAAAGATGTTTTTAGCATGCAGAATGTCATACTGATGATTTTTTGCTTTGTCCTCTGAGGACTCTTCCTCCAGATCATTGTGAGGAAATTAAATACAAACTTTTACCATATTTTCTATCCTATTCTAAATTATGTATAAATACAGAGTATTTCAACATAGGCCCAAATACCTCCATTTTAATGTCGTGTTTTATTCTTAACAGAAATGTGTACAACACAGAGAAATACTTCAATCAGTCATTAAAGGAGGCATCTGTATGATTAATATTTCAAATGATTTCTTTGTTTGGAGAGGGCTGTACAGCCTTGGGCAATGCACCATGTTAAGGTTTGGGTAATGGGTAATTTCTTTTGATTTAAGTGGAAGAAGGTCTTACTTTAAGTACAGCATGTGTTCTTAGAAAACTTTTAGGAAAGAATACATGTAGAAGTTGAGGATTTTGGAAAGTGATTTCCTTAAGAAGATCCATGTCTGTGTACTGATTTAAGTGAATGAAACCACCTTCAGGGCAGGGAGACACTCAACAATGATGGGTACTCTCATGAACTGGCTTGCACATGTCCTGTCCAAAATGAGATTACAACTATTCAGATTTGGCTGACTGTTGAGAGGGGATGTTGGCCCAGGGTTGCTAGACATTTGGCTTGAGAGAAAACAAATCCAGGGACTTTTTTTGGGGTTACCATCTCCCAATTTCTAAACATTGTTAACTAATTCATATTTTAAATAGTGTGAACCAGTGGTTGGTGTGCTGCCAAATGCAGCACACCAGTAGACCTTCTAGTCAATTTTGAACTCTGGTTTCTGTATATGACCAGTGACCTGACCTAAATTAAATACCATCTAAAGAAAATACCAATGAAGTTTACACTTTCATCAAAGTCTCATTTTTTTTTTTTTACTTCCTATAAACTTGTTCTATTTGGTAACTCAAGCCAGAAATGTAGCATGCCACCTTAGACAACTTTGTCTGATTCAGTCACTGTATAACATCTAAACTCAAATCTTTTCAGAAATATGTTCTGCACCCAGCCCCTCCTATGCACCCCAGGTAACCTCTGTCATCTTTTACCTAGATTATTATAGTAATTTCCAAATTGGTCCTCACACTTCCAATCTTGCTCCTCTGCCACAAAAAATCTTTCCAAAATGAATATATGATCATGCAATTTTGATATGCTTCATTGCTTATAGATGAAGACAAAAGTTCTTAGTAAGGCTTATAAGATTCATTGTGATCCAGCGTCTGCCTATCCTTCTGGCATCATTTCTTGCCATGCCGCCATGTACAACCTGTGTCTTAACTATGTGGAATTATTTTCAGATTGCCTGAGATGACCATGGTCTTTCTTACTTTAAGACCTTACACATACTTCATATTTATGTATGCCTGGAGTAGTCTTTCCAAGCAATCCTGGATAACTCCTGGCCATTTCTGGAGACCCACTGCAAAATTATCCTCTTAAGATTCTTTGAATCCTGTTTCTTCACTTTTAATCAGTCAGGTAAAAACTTCATTGCAAACACTGTTCCCTTGGTCATGTATATTATAGCATTTGTCACACATTCATATCTGTTGCTTTCTCATATGTTAGTCTCCCTGATGAACATGTAAACTCCTAAAGGACAGGGGCAGTGTCTTCTCCTATTTGTAACTTTAGTACCAAGTATAGTGTCTGTCAATTAAGTAGTTATTAACTTCCTTCCGATGAATGAATGAATGAATGAATGAGTGACCCTGATGTTGCATTGATAACACCCACATTATCTGGATCATCTGGATTCTGTCACCAAACCAATCAGAGAGGAATTGCTGATCAGCCCATCCCACATTCTCAGATTACTTGTTGAAGGAGAACTGTAGAAATGTGAGTATTTTGTCACACATAGGTGGAGCTCAACCATTTATTCCCACAGGCTTGGCTGGCTGAGCCTGACAAAACTCCTCAGGAAAAGTATTAGGTGAAGTGAGGCAAGGATTTGGAAGAAAAGAGCAATAGGAACTAGATAGTAATGTTGCTGGAAAATAAAGGCTCTCAGTATTCCCCTACTATTCCAAATATTCACATCTGGAGTTTATGTGGTGTGCTTTGAGAGGCAACATAACTCTCCTCCAGCCCCTGGAATTGCACCAATTGTAAACAATTACAGGCTCTAATGCATTTTTTAGTGCTACTTGGAATAAGTTAATTTGAATGAGATGTGATTTGTTTATTGGTTGATTGGTTTTTAAGACACCCAGCCAACCAGAAAAAAAAAAAAAAAAAAAAAGACACTCAGCCAGAGGAGCAATTCAACAACATCAGAGCTGATAAAATTCATCTCAAGAATTTGAGGAAGGAGAAGGGTTGAATGGTCTTATTAAAGCCCTCTTGACAAAAGGGAAAGATACTGCTAAGTGAGGTATTGAAATGTTAATATTTTAAAAATCCAAAGATCTATTATCTATCATCTGTCTGCCTATCTATCTATCTATCATCTATCTATCTATTATCTATCTATCTATCTATCTATCTATC